GAGTCTGGCCCTGTTCAAAAGGCACCCGCTGTGTGCAACCGCATTAGGACTAATACAGTAATACCTTACTTCTTGCGTCCTCAGGTAATGTCAAACTCATCCGAGCCTGCAAAACTATTAGTCCTCTGTTCTCCTAAGGAATCCTACTACCCGCTGCCTCACGGGTCAGACTTTTGAGTCAGAAGTTAGCGGCAGAGTCCATGAAGAAAATCCTACATCCACCCACTGCTTCGTGGGTCAGAGCCTCAAGGTGCGGTACCTCAACCAAAACCAAGTCCTCGGCGTGGGCAACTGTGAAGTATCATGTGCCCGCACCATTCTTTGTCAACAGATGTCCCTCCCAAACCCGTTCCCACAACACAAGCAAGCGGTCCTGAGTCATTTGACTCAGTTGTCTGACCAATGTCATTTATGCCCATTAACAATAAACCAACTAGTACTTTTAAGTCAGTATGTTAGCTGGGTGATTTAGAAGCCTGATGGAATTTATTCTATCTGTTTGATAGCCTAGTACTTGAATGGGAAAGTTTCAAGTGAGAAGACTTAGGACACCGGATGAAGATCGGCTATATTGCATATGAACTAATGGAAAAAGAGCGCTGCAGCTCAGTTGGCTACAGCAGGGAGAAAACGACATCTCAGTGAAAAATTACAAAAGGTAGAATTATTTCCTAAATCCACGAGATCTTTTCTACACGGGAGCTTTTAACGTCCGTACTCTATGTCAAATTGCCAAATAGGTAATGTTCACGGAGACCTTATAATTTCTTAAAACTGATGTATTTTGTGTCTCCGAAACACGCATACAAGACCTAATTGTTGTTTTGCATTTCAGAACGTCAAGGTAGAACTCAGCTATTTCACATTTCTTCGTCCGTGTTCCGAGTGATTCGGAAGCGATGACTAGTGGAATATATGGTGTGGGAGTTTCACGTAGCCCCACAGCCGAACGCACTTTGCTTGAGTGGATCCCGGTGAACAGTCGTCTTTGCGCCGTTTGGTTATCTATCCCAGTCAAGGTCACTTCCTTGACATAAAAAACGATACCTGTTGGTATTGTAGGCATATTCACCAACGGATCGTGCGATACTTTCTATCGAGAGTTATTCGGGCTCATTCGTCGTGCAAAAAGCACTGACACTGTGATCTTTGAGGGTGGTATGAGTGCCCAGGTCGGTCTTCCCAGATCCTCGGAATCATGGGTGGTCAATTCCATATCGATGCTCGTCACAGTTAACCACTCCTCCAGTTGTATGGTGATCATGAACTGCTTCTGGCCGGTACAAATGTTCAACCTATACATTCTTACCGCATAACTTGACGTCCACAATGTGCAAATCGATCGTAGAGCCTGTTTGTTTACATGACCGGCAGCCACCGGTGAAGATCCACAATTCGAGACTTCCGCTTCTTCTGGGGCACCACTTGATTCCGATAATGCCATTGCGCATGCACGCCTCCGGCCCTCTCAAATCAACAAGAAGCAGCCAATCCACCATCATCGAAGTACGATAGCTTAGCAGTATCGATCTGAGCTAGCTCAACAACTATCTACAGTGGCGGCTGTACTGGCGTAAATGGAGCATGGCAAAACGTGAAAGCTATACTAGTGGCTTTCAGTACTATCTGTCCGACTTCTCCGATCACTGGATATCGTCAAGATCGCTAATCCTGATTGTTGCCAGGAAATCCGCACCTACAGACATGCTGTCGATGATAATGGTGATGGTAATGGCCTGCAGACAACAAGTACGACAGCGCACTCAAACCCTTCAAATGCCAATGAAGGACGAAGGGCTCTGGTGGACATCGAAAGATTGGTAGATGGAGAAGGCTTTTGCTACCAGAAGCAGTCGCGCCCTATATCAACTGGTACGATCGACCGGTGCTGGGGAAGCAACCGTCAGTAGATCGATAAGTAAGGATGGTTCACTAATTCACTCGCAAAAATGTCGACCGGAAAATTGGGCCGAGCACTTCGAAGGACAGTGCAGATGGCCTCCTACAACACAGTGTCTGGAGGCAGTGTGTACAGGAGAATGGAATTGAAACCTTAATCGCCCTTCGGAAGGAGAAATAAGGTACGAAACATCCGTACTGAAACTTGAGAAGGCGCCAGGACCGGACGATCGCTTACCCGCCTTGCTGACTCAGCAAGTGAGGCGACCCGGCTAATGACCCCGTACGATGGCTGTAGCATGGGTTTGTTTGCATGTGTGCAATTCACGGTTGTACATGGGCTAGGATACTGTCAGGGCGTCAAGGTTTAGCCGACACGAAGAGATTAGACCTTACAGTCGTGTGACGGTTAGCGCACCTGATCGACCAATTAAGCTATAGTGGGGGTGTCCCGTGACACAGCCTCTCTCGCACCAGGTTGGTCAATGGTTAGAGGTCTGACAAACACAGCCTCCTGTTCCTCCAGGTTGGGGGTTGGGACATATGGTGACCTGTTCCGTAGAAATTGTAATGCGTCTGCACTTCGCGCCAAACACCGCTGCTTTGCGGCTAGGCTTTTGAGCCAAAGGCTTTGGTTAAGGACCCTAATCGTCCTCCTATCTAAGTGTGGACGCCCTGGCAGTACCCCAGCTCACGTACAACCATGAACTGCACATATTCAAATAAACTCATGCTACATCGGCTGTCGCCTGGCGTCATCATCCAGGTCGCCTTACTCGCTGCATACAGCAGGGCGGGTAAGCAAAAACAGGCTACTGCTGACGCCTCTTTTTTTCACATACGTTTTCTTCCCGCTCTCTCCATCCTTTTATCAACTCCATCTTGCATCGGTTTTGCGTGCAAAATCTGCTCGTCACGTGGCGCCGTCGGTGAAGCGTCAGTGTTGAACACTGGTGTCATGCCGTCGATGGTGATGATGATGCCGACATCCTTAGGTAACTCGAAATCAATCTTCAAGCCTTGTCACCCAGTCTATTTAGCGTCCTTCAATATCTACTCTCTGAAGCAAGCAGGACATCAAGCTGCTCTTGCTCTTACACGACTCGCTTGGCCTTGATGTGTTGTGTGTCTCAGAAGTACGAATTCAAGATGCAAGCGCAGTGGCTCAGCTAGCCCTCAGTCTCCACTCGCTTCTGGCTACGCACCTCTGATGCAGGGCTGCTTCTGTGGAATGTGCAGGGATTGGTATCGTCCTAAGTCGCCGGGCGGAATTATCCTTGCTTGACTGGATACCTGTTGATAGTCACCTCTGTGTGGTTCTTCTTGCAACGTCTGTGAAGGAGTCTCACAAGCGGGAAGTTTATCACTGTCTGTTTCTTATGTCTGCTTACGCCCCAACTGACTTTGACTGTCGTCAAAGAAAGGTTTTACGATGCCGTGAATGCCCTGTTGCGGCGAGCTAAAAGCTCAAATATCATAGTGGTTGCCGGAGATATGAATGCACAAGTAAACCGGCTTAGTGCATATGAGATTCAATTAGGTGGCTGACATGGACTGGATTCGGTACGTACGGACAATGGTGGACGATTGCTTCAGTTGCGTGCTGACCGCAGGCTGTTTTCATGCAGTACTAACTTCCGAAATAGCCGACTTCGTCTAGCCACATGGTATTTTCCAAAGGCGTGCCGGCAACGGACTCAAATAAATCACATTGCCACCAGTTACCAATGGCGTGGGTCAGTAACTGATTGCCGGTCGTTTTAGAACACATTGGTGGGTTCTGACTGCACACTCGTGTGGAGTTGCTTCTCCCTTCGTTTCCCAGGGCCACTTAAGGAGCGGAGAAATCGTCTGACAACTGAAAGACGGGTAGATCCGTATTTTAGACAAACCTACTAGATTCGTCTGCTAAAGTCTCTTCTGAATAATATACGTCCAATTATAGCACTCTTTCCGTGCCAAATTGCCATGCCACCAGAAGGAAACACGAGGGCTGGGATACTACCAGGTTGCCCAAACCTAGGCAGGAGAAGTCGAGAGACAGTGCTTGGGTTCGAACCCGGGCCTTCTGGCCAGTAAATTCGCGCGCTAAACACCGAACAATCTCGCCCAATACTAAACCATCAGCATCGGGTCACGTTTGCTAATTTGAGACATCTATGGCATCAAAGTGGTATATCCCTCTATCTCAAGGGACGTGTGTATCAGGCTGCAGTGTGGACTGTTTTGTTTTATGACAGGCTTGGCTTGTTCGAGCAGCGAAACTCAAACATCTTCATGTGTTTGACAACCGTTGTCTCAGGACCATAGCTCGTGTGGGTTGGTGTCAGAGACTCCTTAACGAGGCAATTAGAAAGCGAGTTTCCGGTTGTGTAGTGGGTACTTCCATTGAAGAATGCGTCCAGCACCAGAAGCTGCGTTGGTTAGGCCATGTATTGCGTATACCGAACCATTGTTTGCCAAAATGTGTGCTGGTTCTCCCATTTAGAGTGGTGGAATCAAAGGGATGGCCAACCCTCGACCTGGAAGAGGGGTATGAAAGACGTTGCGAAACTTTTGGTTGCTGTCGGTGCGACTCACCTACCAGAATGGGGACTACGTGATCCCCACTGCTGCAAGATATGGCTGGCAGCCGATGTCAGTGGCGTTATTGTTGTCAGTTTTTATCCGGATTGCCTGAATAAGTGTTTGGAGGTGTTGGCACCTCGGAATGATTGTAGTAAGCTGGCGCTAAGTCCCTTCGCTGTCCACTTTTATTCTTTCCCTTATAATAAGGTTCTCAAATAAATCATGGTTGCACGACAGCGAAGCATCTTGTTGAACACTGATGTTTGATGGTGATGATGATGTCTAAACTACGAGACACCGCTGTCGGTTTCGCCAACTCTAGCACTCAGCCGGATGGGATGTCGTACCCTCCGCAGATCCAGGGCGAGAGAACTTGAGCAAGATTTCTTAGTGCATTTTTCAAAATCAATCCCTTACTTTGATTTCTGCTCCCTAGGTCTAGGCTCCAGGTTGCATTGAATCCATACAATCAGTTGTAAGGCGGCTGATTTTTATCATCCGTAACCCATTGTTTGTTCCTTTTTAGTTTCCAGTGACATTGAACCCTGTCCTCGCTTTGTGCACAATTACTATGGCTCTGGTTAATTATGACAACTCTGATAACGAGTTAAGTGGTAAGTCCTCTTGAGCTTTCGACTATCCTGAATGGTATAAGCAGATTCGGCAGAGGAGTCCACTGATGACATTGTTACTGAAACGGGTGTTGACAAAGTTGAGCCGGAATATAAAATGCGCATGCCGAAAAGCGCGGCAAGGACGGCAAATCCGGCCACAGTAGTCCCCGCTCTGGTCACTTCAAAGACGAAGACGGGGAAGGTGCTATTATCCGTACCGGCTTTGCAAGAGGTTAGTTAAGGTGACACGCCTTCTTTATCCACCGTTCTACTTAGCTTGATTCTTCCAGCGATGAAAGTGACAATGATCGGGGCGCAGTTACAAAACAGGTTAGTTTTGTTTTGCGTGCTGCTTCGCAAATGATCATGTGAAACCATTTTGAGTTTTAACACATACGTACTTCTCGCGGAGCTTTATTCTTCAATGACGGCTTGAGGAGGAATTATTTTTGAATGTTGTGAGCCAGTCTTATCCCTACTGTCCAGTTAGGCCTCAGGGCCGACTGTATTATTTATCAACTGGTCAGTCGTAGCTAAACCACTGTCCTCGGTGATCCTAAATAGGTTGCGACAGTAACGTAGAGAAGGTACATGATGTAAGTGAACGGGTTTCGGGAACGGGTCAGTTGGTATTGATCTGATCTTCATCGTCCACAAGATTCCAGCACACCGTTGTCCCTACTAGAAGTCAATTATTATGATTTCCTTAGGCATAAGTTCACCCTTCAACTCTTGGTTTTCGTAGAATGTGGGAGAGTAAATTGACATTTGCGTGACCGTACTCAAGGTGACGGGTCAGTTCGGACGGCGGTTTGTGCCTAAATTTCACAACCTCTATCATTTTGAGCTTGATACAATAGGCGTATCCTAACTTCCTTCTCCCCTTTGCCCTTGACGTTGATGGCAAAACCCCACTGAAGTCAGTCGAAGTTGAAAATGCCGGTGGTGGGATAGAACATCCAGGCTAGCGAAAGCTGTGTATGCGGTGTGTCCAGGGCACCGTTCTGTTGAGTGAAAGCGTTGAAACTATGCATATATCGCTTGGCGATCGAGACTTGTGTACTTGAGATGTTCTCAGGATCTACGTGTGGAGTGTTTTTTGGAGACGCATCCACGTGGCAGCAAACGCGCGGATAAAGCCTGTCATTTGGTTGACCTGGTCTTTAACTGAATGGGCGCGTCTGCATTGTCACTAAGTGAATACAAATTTGAGCTGATTATCGAAGATATACGGGGACTTCCATACTTGTTGCTTGTGTGTCATTAGTTATTTCTACGACAATGCCGAGTGAGCGCTAAAGGGTTCCACCGAAGTGTGTGTGTTGGGTTTGTTCACCTTAGCCATGCAAATGCACCTCTACCGGCATGTACTACACAACATCTGCCGTTTTTTGCGTACGCTACTCTAGCCTGGAATGGATGAACGGCTTACCGATGACGCAGTGAATTACCTGACTGAAAACTGCCAGAATATCATGGGGGTCTGTTGACAGTGCAGCAACGTTACATTGGGTCACACTGGCTGTCACTCAGTTTTCCTAGTTTCGACCATGCCAAGGAGACAAGCGAGTGGCAGCAAACCTCTGTACTGCTAGAAATCCTAATACTAGGGGGTTATTGAGCTAAAATCATTCTCTTCGTTGCGATAGGAATGTGATGATAGCAGGATCCCCCCGTCGGATGATCATCACTTCCGTATTTACAGAGTCAGCAGTGTTATCTTTATGGAGGAAAGAGGACAGTTTTTTTGTTTCGAGTTTGCTGTTGTGACTTTCCCTTTCCTCGAAAAACTAAATCTTCTTACTTGTTCTCTGCTGACTTAGTCATTGAAAGTGGATTAGAAAAAGTAGACAAAAACAGACGTTCATGAAGGGTGTTTGTGATCGCCTGGGGTGCGCATACACCTTCAAACACTCAGTTTGATTAGAAACAAAGTACATGAACACCAAATGGTTTGGTCTGTAGCCACAGCTCTCAGCGTCTTCAATCAATCGCGTTGCTAGCCATGAGGCTCCCTATACCGCGATACGGAGCATCCGAGCATTCAAGCCCCTTCTAACCGCGCCCTCACGTGGGTCCTGGATACTCTTGAAGCTTATAAAGATCAAATAGACAAGTGAACTGTTTATGAATTAAACCTTTTTCATTTAGACAGAACGTCTTCAGTAAGAGTCGTTCTGTTCTTTCATTATCATGCTCCTAACCGAATTACCTGCGGTTATTCTCCCCACGGACAGCGATCTAAAAAGGCTCAGCTTGGTAGTGCTGGTCAACGATCAGTCGGTTTATTGTCCCTACTCCCTCCTACACGAGCTCCTGTCACTCGAGATGGACCAAAACCGCTTATGATGGTACCCCATCAACTGGCAGTCAAACGGCCGGCTCCAGGTCATTTAGTCAAAAGGAATCAGCTCGGAGGGGCTGTTGGTCAGGCAGCCACTCAAAACGGTGTCTCAGAGGACAGTAGAGACTCAGACGTTGATGACAATGATGATGCTGATGAGACTGAGGATAGCACGTCTACCTCTTTCTTTTCATTCTTCCAACCCGCGCCGGAAAGTGAACAAGCAGTGGCGGAAGTGCGAGCAGCCACCGCCACGAGTATCATTCGAGCTATGGCTTCCAAAGCCGATGAGCCGACAGGTTCGGATGATACGAGGCAGCCTGGATTTGAAGAGCAGATGATCATTTCGTCCACCAGCAAACAAACGCCCTCCAAACCTATTGTACAAACTCCCACATCCTCCCTATGTCGTATTGATCCCGCTGTACTGAGTGAACTCGACGTGCCGAAGAAGGAAGTTCCACCGGATGGAGACGAGGCGATAGGTGACGTGCAGTGTTGGACAGAGCATACCTTTGTTCCTGGCCCCGAGGTAAGTCGATGCGTGTTTGGCTATTGAACTGCTAGAATCCTTCCGGAGGACTATCGGAACTGTTAGCGTTGATACCCTGTGATGTTCGAGGGTGCCACTTATTTCTTTCAAGTTTTTCATCCATGTACAGTGTATACGTGACGTTGATTGAGAGTGACACATTAATTACGATGGTTCACACTTTTGCGTGTTCCACCCCGGACTGCTCAATCACTGATTAAACCTGTTGTCATGTCTTATCAAATAACCTCACTAGCATTTAAGCTTCAGTGGTAGTCTTCCGTCCCAGCGATTCATTTTACTGTTTTCCCTTATTACTGTGCTCACTGTTTCCTCACAGCGCAAGCGTGCCCGATTGAATCAGCCTGGTACCCGGTCCATACCCGTGCACGATCTACTGGCCACTTCCAATCAATCCATTCGGGAAGTCAATCAAGCCGATTTGACAGTTGGAGCCGATTTGGAGCTCATGAAATCTGTCACCGCGGATGAATCTCAGTATCGGTCACATCGAGCTAGTGAAGATGACGACCCGGGGAAGCTGGCGCATCGCAAACATCAAATCACCTGGTTGGCCTATCAGGCAAGTTTTTTCTCTTCATCCTGTTTTGCTAGTTAGACAAACGTCACGTCCTATGCGCCACTGACCACGCACCCTTTATCCATTCCAACCTTCAAATGGACTCTCCTGTCCCTTCCGTAGCACGCTAATAGACGAATACGTCCACTATTAAGGTCCGGCCAAATTCCAAGCTAACGGCTTGCTTGTTACTCAGTTCACCATGAGATTCGATGACCAACCAAATTAACAGCCAATAAAACTCCTCGCCTAACCAAACTTTCTCAACGGATCCTCAGACCGGCAGTAAGAGCCTGCTAGCTAAGGGTCACGTCGCCCACTCAGATACACCTACTCGATGGTCTTTTGGAAGGAATCTGCCGAAACAGCGGGAATTCCGGTACAATCAGTGCGCATTCAAAGCTGCTCTTTTACGTGATGCACCATGATAGCAGTGGTCCATTCATTGAAACTAAAGAAGGCTCGATTGAACTTGGTGAAGTATTTGTTAGGTAAATTACGCTTTGGAATAGCTACGCTTGACCTAACAGGATCATGGGCGTCTTTAACAATCTTCAAACCTGTTCAGAATTTTTCAAACAAACGGATACATCATCCACAGCCTAGACGAATTCAGCTTACTTGGACTTCGTTGATTCCTACACGTCTGAATAAGAAGGCGCGACCTCGCCATTTTACTTGGGTTTCCGCTCCGTATAACGTCATTCGGAAGATATTTTATTGGTACGACTTTGGGTGTCGCCTCAAGTATCCTGCAGAAAGCATGTGGAGGTGAGTAATGAACGTAGGACCCTGTCGCTTTAGAGAGGAGAGAACTGACAAGTATTGGTTCGAACAAACGGTGCCGACGTGGATGCTGTTCACTCATAACATAACACGCCACTCGAGGGCAGCTGAAAACTCTTCGACAGTCCACTAATGGTTCCGCTTCTATCCGGTCCTGTGGGATGCACCAGAGACGCTCAAACTTCTATGGGAAAAGTCAGGTTGCTGCATTCACTCAAAGAATACAAGCGAAAGTTGGCGGAGTTCGGTCCTGTGGAATGCACCAGAGACCAAGGGAATGTTGTCAGGCCAACTTGAGCGAGAAGCTGAGGTACGCCGCCGCGCTTCATGGCGCCACGAGCAGAACAGACGTCCAGTTTCACTGGACGTAAAAGACAGTAAGCAACCTCTTTCGCATGCAATACAAAGCCTGAATGACTTGCCGCACCCCCCAATAAGGGGGGGGGGGGAGATGACTCAGTCGAATTCACTGGCTGGAAAGTCCGTGGTTCGAACCCGACCCCTGCCTCTCGACTCCCCCTGTCTAGGCTTGGGCAACCTGGCAGTATCCCAGCCCCCGGGTGGCATAGCAGCTAGGCACCGAAAGGGTGTTACAGCTCCAATAAGGGCGAAAGATCTCTTGTGTAGCCGCTCATATTCTCTTTAATTAGCATGGAACCATGTGTATTCACTCCTACATGTTTCTATCATTGCTCTGCTTTATATTTTAGGCACAAGAAAATGAAATGGAGTTGGAGAAACGTTGGGCAGAGGCTCGTCGAAACAAAGCCAGTAGTCGGTCTAAATACGGATTTTGATGGCACCTCTCACCTTGCACATATTGGCCTTTCGCCCATCGGCGGGCACATTGTACAGTGATTTCTTCTGCAGCGTATGGCTGTAATTGCTTTTGTAATCATAAACTTGTTACCTCTATTGTTCGTTGGTCATACTACTACAGGTAAAAGCGTTCGGGACAAATGTTTCTATCTGGTTCTAGACCAAGTGCTGCTCTGAGTCTAGGACGCGATTTGCGCGCGTAAGAGCTCTATATCCAAAGCGTGACTAGGGGCATTTTTTCCTGATTACTGAACGAAGTTTTTCGTGGTATGGTAATCCGGGAGCACGCCTACAGTCTTGGAATGGTGCCTACTGCTCACTCCCAGAAATTGTGCTAGGTGTCAGTTTTACCGAGCAGGTTTCATCCCGCAATATGTAGGTAATTAGCGATTATTAGCGCGATCTTCGGTGAGGCAGATGGGAACATTTGCGACCACTTGTTAATGAGCTTGCCAGTTCTTCCGGTTTCCCAGACTCCAACTTAGGAGGTTCAAATGTCGAACAGTCGTCACCTGACACAATCGTTCGCAAAGTACTGTTACAGTTGTGTTTTCACTTGCACAGAACCGATGGAGTACCGAATGTGATCGATTACCATCATTGAGGAGCAGTAGATTTGAGCGACCAGTAATGTTCCGATGTCATGAACTCAATATTTTCGATCGTGAGTGAAACGCACCGACAGGATTAGCGAATATACACTCTCATTTGCAAACTAATTTGGTTTTATCAAGAGACTCACCTGGAACCCAGCTGAATCTCCTACCTGATGAGCCCCAAAAAGGGCGAAACCGGTCGTGGGCTGTCGACGGATTTTCAGCAACCTTATGAGTAGTACATTGCAAAGATATACATGTATCGCGATATCTCGAATATCGTAGCGACTGAAACATGAGGCAGCCTGGTGCAGCACATTCAGTTGACTGAGAACATCACAAACGAGAGACTCAGCTGGGTTCCAGGTGAGTCTCTCGAAAAACCAGATTAGCTTCACTGACGGGATGTTTTTTTCGTATAAACAAAACAGCAGTTCGGTTGTGGAGATTGGACTATTAAACACAGGTCATTGCCCCCGGAGCTGGAGAAGAGGGAAAACGTTTCAGTCTACCGAGACACCGGAGTGGGCTGTAGGTTTTTTGCCACCTAAGAGACCCCGGTGAAAATCACTTATGATTAATCCGGTCAACCTTTTGAGTATGTTTGCATGAAGCCCGGCAGTTAATCCAATAGGCAATTGCTAAGGGCCGTAATCAACTGCGATAATGAATCACTCGACTTTGGGTTTGGGCATAAAACATTTCCAACTAGCATTTTGAGGTCTTCCAGATCTGAAATCCATAAACGTGAGGAAGGATTCGAGAAATACATTCATTTGCAAATTAATTTGGTTTTCACGAGAGACTCAATTGAAGCTCTAGTTTATGATGTCCTCCAGCTGACTGTGATGCACACAGGCCGCCTCATGATTCAGTTGGCACGATATTCGAGATATTGCAGTATATTTTCATAAGGGAAACCGGTCGTAGACCGTCGAAGAGTTTCCAGCAACCTTCTGAATAGTTTCCTTTATGTGAGAAAGGATTTTTTGCTGACCGTAATACACTCTTAGCGCGCAGGACGAAAGGCCACATGTGGGTTTATCAGTTACTGGATGTGAGAAAACAGTACCACGCGCGGAGTGGAGGCAGACTGCTCTGAATCCGCCACGTGCGAAAATGGTACAAACAAGTGAGTTCATTGATGACCGGCGGTTCAGCCTTCTTATTTGATCTTCATCTATTCAACTTCCACTATGAACTCCGTCTTCAGGAGTGCTCTTAAGCTGAAATCCAGTCCGCCTCAAGAATCGCATCGTGCTTTCTTACTTGATTGCCTAAATTCAAATAGAATGTCCATCCCACAGACATGAAACCCTTGTTGACTTGTGAACGGTTACTCTCAAGGGAGTTCCACAGCGGGTGTCCTATGCCAGGTCTTTATAAGGCTTATACTGACGGACTGTTCCCAGAGGTCCGACAACTGTCCCTCAGAGAGCAAATTTATCTCCAGAGACAGCTTTTGAGACCTCGTGATCCAGAGCAAATGAGTCAGGTGATGATGTCGAACGACGCAAGTTTGTAAACCTGAAGTCCAGAGTCTTGAGCTTATATTTACATTGCGAGGTGGAGTATTCTCTCTTTCGCACGGAATACAAGTATGTGGCCTCCCAAGTCAGATGCTATTTCTGATTCACCTCTCTGTACACCTCAAGTCCGCTTAGGGCACGGTTCGTGGATGGGTGAGTAAAGTTTGTGTGGCAAGTTATTGCCTGTGAGATCTTAAAACCATGAACCTATGAAGGGAGCTGATTCTCGAGTACCAACTATTTTACAGGTGGCCTTTTGATGATCCTGCTGGTGTTGATGTAAGTTGTTTGTACAGAGAGGAAGTTGGTTGTGAATAGAGATTCCGGTTACGTTGCCTTAACACATGAGATCAAAGCAGGCGACTTTACCGGACGCTTTTTGAGGCCATCGAGTGACTCAAGTAGCTTGCACTGAAACTGATGTTCGAAACTAGAAGTACTTCGCACAAGTTGCAACATAGTAGTACCAAGAAAGAAATTCTGTCGAAGACTGCTGAATGCTGTGTTGAATTTGGTATGGTGGAATAGATTGTCAAGATTGAAACAAGAAAGTTGAGTAGCCCATATCCGTTTGCACGTTTCCAACGGCCGTCTGTCTGTGTGATTTCCGTGTACTTAGCTTAAGGTTATCTGGAAATATAGTTTCCTCCCAAGAACCATTCGAGAAGGCAAAAGCTAGCATATTCTGTTCAAGACACCTATCTAATTACTTTGTCACTCCATGCAGTGCGCAAGAATCTCAACAAAAGATCTTGGTCAACGTCCCGCTTGTTGTTCTCGCAATTCAGGTGTCCAACAATTTATTTGCAGTTCGACGGTTTTTCTGGTGATGTTGCACACTATGGAGGGGATCTGAACAGTTAGACCTACATCTCACCTCAAACATATTTCTACTCGTCTGATTTGTATCTATGCGAAAAGGTAGCCAGAATTTATCCATAGGATCACCGGACGGAAAACAATGTGTCTGATCGGGTTAGCTACAACGGTTTTCAATCATACCAAGATCAATGCATTTCGATTTCACCCTAAGACTAAGTGACTGTTCCCAGTATCCTACCCATATGATTATGGAAAGACGCTGCTGAGGCATTCTAAGCAATCAGGCTAGCTGGTTTTAGAATATGTACCCCCTTTTTCAGGCTGAAGCCTGATTTAAGTTTATTCTGAATCGTTGTCGGAAAATCCATTTTATTCTTTTGCATTCTCAGTGCCTGTTGTCCGGTGTGAAGCTGCGAAAAAGTTGGCTACTAACTCCTACAAAAGTAGTAAGATGAAAATCGAGCAGCATTAAGGCCTTCAAATGGCCGCGAATTATGTGGTAGGAAAATATGCAACGAAATGGCAGTGGATTGCGGAAAGATTAGTAAGTCAGGTTCGGAAGCCACATTGGAAGCAACGTGATTCGTCACTACAGTGCGACACTGGTGTTTAGCTGTAGTTTAGTTATACGGAATCGAATTTCGCGACATGCATGACCTCGTCTATCGGCCTTAAGTGGAACCTACCAGTTGTACTATCTGTTCACAGTCTTCGGTTGCAGTAAAATACCACTGTTGATATATAAATACAGTTTGGTACGCTCATAGATCAAAGAGTTCATCGTTTACCCCGGTACCACGGCCTTACTCTTAGCTTTATTCTGATTAAAAATTATTTTGTCTTTTGGATTCCAAAGTGTCTTACAGTTATTCCTGAAAGCCAGAAAATTTTTCCAATCGAGCTTTCGCCGTACAAGTGACGTCAGTCGATAAGAACAGCCAAGAATTGCCGGCAGAGTGTGTCTGGAAAATCTCCGGGAAGATTCAAACACTTGATTTTGGTCAGTAGAATGAACAGTTCCGCCACGAGCGGACGACATGCATTGTGATCAACTCGTCCTCAACTCAGCGCTTAACCGCGTAATCCGTTTCATGTGTTCACCTGTTACCTGGCAGCTACTCCTAATGTGACTTATTTTTGTGTTTAATCGACAATTAGTTTGTTCATAGAATTCAGCTCAACTCACCCTTTAGTAACCAAACAAAAATGCCGAGTAGTCCATTTAAATTCAAACTTCTGACGTCATTATCTGACTCATAGAGATAGTAGGCAGTTGACCGTTCTTTTTTGAGTTGTATTACACAGGTATTCTGCACCATTCTGAATCAAATGAATGGTATACGGTAGGTTGCTACTTTCTGAGCAATGTGTATACCGGCAACCTCATCCTAGCTTTACGGTCCTTTTGGTCTCCTTTAGAACCTTAAAGTGATGTTCAGTAAATCGACACCAAACAACCCTAAAATCCGAAAAGTATCTTTTGATAGAAGGCCGAAACACGAATCTGTCTTTGAATTACACGTAGCAACGTAACAAATCGCCAAAAAAGCAGACACCGTTACGTCTTGGTGAAGTATTCATGTTGGGACATCTGTTGACTGAGGGGATTTGAACATTTCTGGTTCAGCGGCTTAAATTGATTTCAAAACACTTGCAGTTTTTTTAAAGTATAAAACTGTCTTACCAAAAATAAGCACATAGTCTGCCAGGAACACTGTCTAAGGGTGATAACTGTGGAGCTCTGATTGTATCTTTAATTATTCTGGCAGGGCTACCTGTATTGACACGTGAGCGGTTTGCTGTTTCTCCAGTTTTTGCGTCGTTGCACATATAAGTTATTCTGCTCACGTTTTCATCCTGGCAGCGACTCAAAGCAGCTAGTTTGTTCGGCAACATTCTACAGTCTTCTGATTATCAATGAGCATGCTTTCCGCCTTGGTAATGCATTCAAGACACCTGATTTATCAGCTGACTGATCGTGGTATGTGCCTGGAAAGATGATTCCTTGTTTCGTAATCACACTACAGCTGTGTCCGGAGTGTTCTTCTGAGTTTTTTAAATTCCTTCCTGACATACGTATAATCCTAGTAAAACAGTTTTAAAGAGCCTAGTTCATGGAATACCTTCGTGGCTATTAAGAGCTTTGACTGTTGATAATAATAAAATGATAATCATCCAGCTGTAGCACCCTTTCGGTACCTAACTGCCATGCCTCCCGAAGGTTGCACGAGGGTTGAGATACTGTCAGGTTGCCCAAGCCTAGACAGGGGAAGTCGAGAGGCAGAGATCGGGTTCGAACCACGGACCTTCCGGTCAGTAAGCTCTAACCACTTGGACCACCTCGCCCTTTGACTGTTACAATAAAACGGACGTGCAGTTTTGAAAGACATGACCATTTTTGTACAAAACTCAGCAAATACACTACTTAGATTAGGTTGACTGAGATTCAGCGCCACGGTAGTTTAAAGAAGAAGCCCCTTTATTTTACAAAACAATTTATAGTAGCTGTAAGTATTTCAGATTGATCGATGCCCTCCAAAGTACTGAGTGATCAATGTCAAGTTTACCGGCATATGTAAGAGGACTGATTCGGCGAGCTGAATCACCACCTCGTGGTGCTCACAGAGTAGCCTGGAGGTCAGTTTGGGCGAGCTAAGAGTTCAGCAACTCCAGACAGGACTAACCATTCTGTTTGGTTTCAATGTGCTGGTTACTTTCGAATCATCTGAAGCATCCGAACCAGTTCCAACCAGTACACTGGAGAGTCTCTTTGGGTTCACGTGTGAGGAATGTGGCAAGTGCTGCAACTCGAAAGCTGGCTTGGTAGCCCATCATCGAGTTCACAACAATGAAAGTGTTGGTACGAACACGATTGCCCAATTGGCCTGCGTTGATTGTTCACGCCTTTTACCGGTGAAGATTGGCCTAAGTCAACATCGCCGGTACGTACACTCCACCCAGCACAATGCAGATAAGCTTGGCCGAGTGAAGTTTTCCGGTACCGGCTGGTCCCAACAAGAGTCACAATCGCTCTTGCGCCTGGCCAACAATTTATATCCATCTTGTGGCACGCAAACGCGCTGTTCGCGAGGTTGGAGCAGTATTTTCCTGGTCGACCGGCTATCAGCATCGAAACTGGCATCGAACTGGCACGCACTACATCATCTGTTGGACCTGACCAAACTATCGGTCAAATAGCAGCCTACTTGTCAGAAGCCGATGACTATAGCGTCTGGTTTAAATAAACCATGGATTGGGCCGTGTCACTCTTGGAATCTGCTGACATTTCGCTTGCTAGTGTTGACCCTCTGGCATTTACCCGAGGGTTGCAGTCTGGCACCGCAGCAAGTCCTGTTGCTTCTGGACCTCCACGCCTCCATGACATTTCCACACACTTGGAAAACGGTATCCCGACGCCGTCACCTATCGAATCCCGGTTAACCGAAAGCAGACCCGCTGAGGCAACTACGTCACCATCCAGACCCTTTACCACCAGCGATGGAAAGATGTAGCCACTGCTGTGCTCCAGTGGTCATGGAAAGATCTATACAACGCTAATTGCGGCTCACATCTAGACACCGAGCAGCATTGGAAACGTGCTCTCAGCTCAAAAACACGTGGATAGCCGGCCAAGTCGCATGGTGGTACCATCGGATTGGAGCTTGACGGAGCTAATTACAGGAGAAGAAGCTGGCCATACCATCTGTTTAATGGGCCATTCGTTCCCAGGCCTGGGTAAGCTTACGCACAGGATGCTCCACCGGTTCAATATGCTCGCTGGGTATTTCAACTTACTCAGAGGGTTGTTCCCCACATTTGTGTCACGCCCATATTGATATTGTTCCGAAGGTCTTCGTGTCATCCATTCTTGTCCGTTGCTTTCATGAAGTGCTTGCTGATCGCTGGAGTCGGAGATTGCAACTTCCCTCACTCCACTTTGCATTTCTACATCCAGACGGCTACATCGCTGTTACAAGCCTTGCTTTGTCACTATTCAGTGACTGTTTCTACTCTCAGCTTGGCGTTCGTTGATATCTCGAAAGCGTTTGATTCGGTTTCGCATGACACAATCGTCAGATCTGCCGGGGCATTTGGAGCACAGTCTTATGAGATGATGTATCGGTTTTCTCCAGTTCTGAGGCTCACTGCTACAGAGATGTGCGGCAAGGAGATGCACTCTCCCCATTATTGTTCACCATGACAATCGATGAGGTTCTTGGATTGTCGATGCCGCAACTGGGATACCAGTTTTATGACACCCTAGTAGATGGTTTTAACTTCGCTGACGACTGGGTCGTGTGTGCAGAAGGTCAGGCTCGCCTTATAGAGAAGCTTAAAGCTGCTGCGGTCGAGTTGGGAAGAGCTGGTATGAAGATGAACGCTCGAAAGACGAAAATGATGTTGATTTGTGGGGACGGGAAATTGGGGATGACAGCAGTCTTAGTTGAATCATTTTGCTTCGCCGGGGAAATCATCATCACTCCGGGTCCGACAGACACCGTAACATATTCGGCATCCCCTTTACTCTTAAGGGAAATGATGTCGTTAACCACCGACGGCATCTGCTCCAACTGTTCGATGTGGTGGCTTGTGCCCCTTTGAAGCCGCATCAAAATATGGAGATCACTAGGAACTACCTGATATCGAGGCTGATATTCGCTGGTGCTCGGCCTATTCCACCGAAATACACTCAAAAGTTTGGACAACTGGATCAGGCAATGTATTCGTGGCTGGCTACGTGTACCGAAGGATATCCCGATCAGCTACATCCACGCCGGTAGACAACATGGGGGACTTGGTATCCCAAGTCTGAGTGCAGCAATCCCGATGCACCACCAACCAATGATCATTTCTTATTGAAGGATCTGGTTTCCTCAGTCCGCCAAGGCTGTTATTGGACTGGGACTTCCTAAAGTCACACTCAGTGACTCGTGTTTGCTTGCCACTGTGGGCTCTCTACATAGTTATGCAAAGTGCTGCATGGCGTTGAGTGTACACATTTTCCATTGAATCTTATACCAGATTCAGTACTACGGACACTTTTTGCCTGAGTCTCGACTGTGCTGGCGCTTACCGCGCCTTGGACTGCATTCAACATTATTTGTTCATTCTTCGGCTGTTGGTTTTTACACGCGTGTTTCATTAACAAAATTCTTACATACGATGGGACTCATCTTATCTGACTGGAACTGTTGGTGGCATGACTTTGAATGAGACCGTTCTATCTTTTATCTCATTTTCTCCTGTAACCATTCCGCATTCATCGCTTGGATTCTATTTTTATGTCTGTAACCATTGTTTCCAAAAATAAACGGTAAGAATCTACTCATGCCTAATGAGCAATGCTGAAGTACTTCGAATGGTATTAGGAGAAATAACTCACCCTCGATAGATGAACTGATCACACTGTATAGGTTTTCGCTGGCTTGGCCACGTGCTGCGTATGCCAGTCGACCGACTTCTTCGCATAACGACATGAAGGGTGGAAGAGAGCCAGAGGCGGTCAAACAATGATTTGGCAGCGAAGCATAAAAGCCATTACCAGCAAACACAGCCGCGCTGGTAATTGCCGTCTTCCTGGATGGGGACCCTGAGGCGGGCCGTAAAAATGGTTAGGGACATTGTCATACATGGCCCAGTCGCGCCCTCAATCGCGCTCATGCATCCAAGCTAATGCCTTCACTGCATAGCGCCCTTCCCAATCCCCCCACTTAACAGTCCCCTGACAGTGCTGTATTTACGCACTAATTTGTCAGCTGCCGCCTTCAATGAGGTGCAACCTACCTCACCTCCCTGAATCATCGGTGAACGAAACTGTGGCAGCTACAACCACTGTACGACAAGTATGCGGTTCTTACAGCTGACGGTGATGGTGATAATGATGATGACTCATGCTTAAGAAACCACGTAGAGTGATCTTTAGCTCGTCTGTGTCACTTCCGTAAGTTTGGGGCGTTATTCATAATGGTTAGTTATAAAGTCGGCTTTACACGACCAGTTCGTGCAAGCGAGCTAACTCTGCAGCCCTTTGCAATATATCGGCCACCCGGATGGAGCTGTCTAGGATTCAGGGTTTGTGATCACGATGGACGAACAAGCGTATGCTTCGACTGTTTTTCGTTAGTATGCGCTCAACAAACCCGGAAAGCGAGAACGAAAGAACACCGAATACGTATGTCTTTTCTTCAATTGTTGACTATGAGGCTGGAGATAGCTCAGTGGTCATGGCGCAAGCTTACTACCGGAATGTACCCACTCTAATCATCTCGACTATCCGCGTCCAAGCTTGGCAGTATCTTGGTTCTTGTACTGCCTTCGGTTGACAGTGAGGCACCGAAAAGGTGTCACAGTTGAGCGTTCATTACTTTCATTTTATCAGCCCATAGAACGAAGCAGTGGATTCCCCACATTCCGAGAAGTGAGGTGATGACCAGCTTTCGTGAAAAAGCAGGAAAAACATTATCTGGTAAGGTTCGTTTCACGTATTCACTTTGTTTTACTCAACATTAACGCGGGTACTCAAACAAAATCTTATTCAAACAAAATCGTGAGCTCCGAACGTTTAAATCCTCTTTGGAATATATTAGATGTGATAAGAGGGGATTACCTGAAGTGACTTGTCCTCGAATGCGAACGCTGGGGCGACGAAAAAATCCCCTCCGGCGATAGAGTACAAACATGTTTGTCAGCATACTGTGCATGAAAACAGTGACTAAGTATCCTAATTTTCTGTGAAACTCTAAAACTTGGTGAAGCTTTCGTTCACCTGTTGTTAACACGGAAATCGAAATATTGCACCCTCTGGATCACACAGCAGCTCTTAAAAGAACGCATAGTCGTTTCTAACACGGCTGATGTGGTTCTTGCGCATTTCAAATGCGAGCTGACGAATACTGTCGAGAAGCTACTTACAACTAAGACAAGGTAATCAACCCTCAGTTCATCTTTGAGAGTAGAGTATCTGCTAAAAAGAGGTCAGTAAGGGTAATATTTTCGTTAGTCGATGCTAGCATGCTGGTGAATACAGTGATAGAGTTAATACTTCGTTTGAACCCTGGGAAAGAGCCAAAAATGTTGCACAAACAATGTGCATCGCGCAGTCAAGACTTTTGACAACTGCTGAAAGGCTGTTTGTCCAGTAAAAGTAATTATACATTCACTTATTTAACCGTGTGCTCTGACGTTCATGTGATAACGGTATTTTTACTATTCCTGTTCTGAAGGGGGAGGGGGAACCACCCGATCAGTGGGGCTTGATGAAAGGGTCAAAAACGAATGACAATTTCTGGTTTAAAGTCACGGTATTGCGATAAAACCCTTTCGAGCAAAGCGACTTTTATATATCAGCAGTTTCTGTCAGGGCCGGAAGATCCTACCTGATTTGGGGGATGATCATAAGCTGCAGGAATGACGTTGCGTCGTGGGATTTTGCAGGATTTTCGTTCCAATTCCGTTCTCACATGTATGTTTGCTTTCATAAAATGAAATCCCCAGGTTTTGCAGGTCTCGATTTCGAGTACTTGCACACCCTTAGCGCTGGTTTGTCTACCGTTTTATTATATGTCTGAACGGTCGATGCTCTGAGTGGTATTCAGTAGTACATATAGTGTATGAGTTTTTCCTTCGAACAGTAGCAGACACCTGGTTTTTTGTGTCAGCTATTCAGAATCGAATGAGTGAAATTCGGTAGATATCCAGCTAGCTGGCATTTCCCGTCTGGTTAGTGGCTTTACGTCATTCATGTATTTTACATCAAATGCCGAGACGAGGTCATTTCAATTGTCATAATCATTCCACAAATTCGGTACACATAGGGTCGATTTTTTTCAAAGTTGTATGATAAATAATCGTTCAGCCGTAACACCCTCTCGGTGCCTAGCTACCGTGCCATCCGAAGGAAGCACGGGGGCTGGGATGCTGCCAAGTTGCCCAAGCCCAGACAGAGGCCTAGGCAGAGGTCGGGTTCGAACCACGGACCCTTCGGTCAGTAAATTCGCGCTCCAACCTATAAACTCACGAACCAATAAATTTCGGATGCATGAAAAATTCACCATCGTGCCTTTCTCTCCCAGTGTATAGAGACATAATCTATTCATGGTTCTGTTGGTGGGGGGGGAGGGTTACACCATGAAAACGGTGGTAAAAAAGACAGGGAAATCGCGTCATTGAAACGGACAGTGATGTTAGTATAGCAGAATGACAAGCTGGTCGGAGATCAGAATTAGTGAAACGGTAGAACTTGGTGAGAATCGTATTCTGTGCGTCAGCCTTAGTGATCGGAGTTCGGTCCCGACCATGCAGCACGATGGGAGCGATAACTGAGTTCCTTGTTAAACAAATGTGACAAGTCTAATGAATTCGTTATGATCCGGGTGATTGCCTCTAATCTACGCTTCGATCAGTGACGTTTTTCAGGCAGGCTGACCCAAGAAATATCCGAGAGCCACAATGTTTCTGTAGACAGAAGGCCTAACGAAATAAATGATTCTGGCTTAGAACGGGTTGCTATAGCGTCACTATTTATGACAGGAACACGCGTAAAGTGGCCGTACAGAAGTTCGGATTTGTTTAAGGCCAGGTGATTTTAGTCGAACAATGAGTCTCCACTCAAGGCTGTTTGAACCGCGCAACAATTTTAACACTCGATATGCACGGCCAAGACTTAAACGTTTCCTAATTTAAAACATTTGCCGTAATTTTCGGTTAAATTAGGGACGCTATGTATTTATAGTTTATCCTGTGGATAAAAGGACAGATTAGGTCCACAACCACCAACCCACCGCTACGCACTACTACGCTCCACAATAACGCACTGATGATGTCACCTCGATTGGTGATGAAACGTTTGCAATCAAATTGCCCAGCTCAGCGAACAAGCCAACGACCACAGATTAGGTCCATTAAGGCAGCTGCACGCTACTGAAAGGGAACGGTATGGATACATTAGACTAACTAGTAAACAGAAATTAGTGATTATCGATCGTGTGAAGTACACTAAGACAGGCTATTTGGACAAAAGTCATATGGCAAGTACAGACCTGAAACTTGTAAAGCAGTAGCTGAAAAGATGCTTTTCTAGTGAAAAAAAGATCTACAACTGTTCAGTCGGGTTGTCACATATTGATTTTATTCATCTATTCAGGCGAATAACTAGCTTGATTAAACAGTACCCTGGCAATAACTGGTACAGGAATAGACCGAATGAACTAATTCATGCCTCATGTTCATATTGGGTTTGATGACGGTTTTCATTTATAATCACGAGTTCACCCTCTGCAGAGCCCGCGTTTCAAACTATTCAGTCCGGTCGTGCGAACCTATTTCAGTTTGGTCCCCGGGGGATCGAGCTGATAAGATCTTGGCTGAATAATTGATTAAGTGGATTCGATGCATTGTTGGCGCGCTTGCATTGTTTATTTTTTTCAGTAATGATGTTACTAATAGGTAATAATCACTCAGCTCCAACGTCCTTTGGTCCATAACTGCCATGCCACGCGAAG